ACACACACACACACACACACACACACACACACACACACACACACACATATATTTCTGTAACTATCATAGTGATATTCAATTGCCTCTTTTCAGTATACTGTATGCTCTGTTTTACTAAGTGGAACTATGTTACTTTTACATCAAGGTATTACACTGCGTATGTGTAGCTATTAACTTTTACCTTCACTTTGTTAGGATGTGTTTATAGTGTCAGAACTTCATAAACATTCATAACTTTATATGACAATTATTTTGTTTGTTTCATGACATGGTTTCTTTCTCTGTGTAGCCTTGGAGGTCCTGGACTCACTTTGTAGACCAGGCTGGCCTCAAACTTAACAGAGATCCATCTGTCTCTGCCTCCCTGAGTTCTGGGATTACAGGAGAGTGCCACCACACCCAGCATAGTTCTTACTTTCTATTCCTAACACTCCCAAGGCTGAAGCAGGAGGATTCTAAGGTTGGTGCCAGCTTGAGCTACAGTCTTGTTTTTTGTTTTGTTCTGTGTGCCATGTGCAGTAGAGGTCTTTAATTTGCAGTAGGCCCTTCTGGAATATATTTTAGCAGTACATACACATGTCTTTTTAGGAGACATCTGGAGCTCAGTACCAAGATGGGTGATTGGTGCATGGTTCCATGATAGCAGTTCCATGATACCCATTTTTCGATTGGAAAATGGTAGTTGAATTTGAATTATGTGTGGGTGGTCTATAAATGTCTAGAAGGCAGGAGTACCTGTGTGAGAGGGTCAGAGTAGCCTGATGGCCCCACTTGCTCCTCTAACTGGCCCTTCTGTGTTAGACTGGGAACTAGGCAGGCAGCTTCCTTTGGGAGCCTGTGGTTGAAAGTGCTTTGGACCCTTGAATGATGACTCTGAGATTTGTCCTGAGCACCCCAGCCAGGCCCAGAAGGAAGGAGCTGCTTCCTGTGAGGGTTGTACAAACTTCGTGCTGTACCCCATGTTTTCTATCTTCCTGCATGTGACAGCCTGCTCACCCATGGTTCTGGGAATAGCATACAGAAGAACCACTGCCGTGTGCTGGGAGGAGAATTGCGAGAATGTGCTGGGGCACTCACACATCTGGTATTTGTAGGGCCTTATTTTTAGGAGGCACAGATATAGTCTTTCCTTGAACTTAAAAAGAAAAAAAAAAAGATCATGTGAAGGAATTCATGCTTTCCAAAGTTAAAGGTCTCTCCGCCCACTTAGGAGCCCCTGGGGTCAAATTTAATTTTCACGCCTGGATGCCAGCTCCAGCATTGCCCTCTGGCTGGGACTTTTATCCAGGACAGCTCCTCCCTGACTCCTACCCCTCCACCTTCCTGTACCCTGGTGGTATGATTTACTTGTCTGTCTTCTAGGTACTGCTTCTCTGAGATGGCCCCGGTATGTGCTGTGGTTGGAGGGATCTTGGCACAGGAAATTGTGAAGGTAAAGTCATTGTGGAGCCAACCACCAACCCCCGTACCCTGACTACACACTAGTAGAGCCAAGGGCTGGGTCAGACCTGCCTGCTCTCTTGCCCCTCAGCCTGGGTGCCTACCCTGGCTTTGTACCTAGCCCATCCACGGCCCAGGAGCAACACAGTGGCCTTGGATACTTCCTCTAGCTGCCACTTTCTCTGCTCATCAGCTCTGTGAGTAGATTATGATTTTTATCTAAGGAAAATAGAAGAGAGACTCCCAACACCTGTGCTCTTAGCCTGCATCCATCATATGGTGTCAGAGCGCCCCTGTTAGTTCAGTGTCTGTGGGGCACATACTCTGCCAGCAGCCACCTGTGACCTCCTGTACTGGTCAGACAGTTAATGCCATAAAGAAGAGGTCTAGGAACTAGTGTAACCTTTCTAGAATGTTTGGTTTGCTAAAACTTTGGCAAACTTTAAAGTAGGTTTTATTTCCTTCGGAAAATTCAGTATTTGCCTAACTTTGTTAAATTTGTTTTATGCAGGGCTGGGGTGTAGCTCAGTGGTAAAGTGTGTGTTTGTGACAGGATCTCGATCTCTAATCAGGCTGACCTGGAACTGTCAATCAGTCATTGTGCCTCAGCCTCCTGAGTGCTGAGGTTACGAACATGAGCCACTGTGGTAGCTCTTCTCTGCATAAGTCTCTGTAGTAGACGCTCATCCATGTCTGTTGTGGGCAGACAAGCGTACTGCCTGGCTGACGTCCCCAGGACTCTTCAAGTAAAGTTGAGACCAAGTTTCATTCCTTTGTTGACTGCCTCTCTAGACTAACTCACTTGCCCAAGTCTCCCCACTTGTACACTGTAGATGCCGAGGGCTGTAGAAGCAGGAGAGCCTGGAGTCTTCTAGATGCTGCCCTGTAGATGTCACCCAGAGACTGGCATGGCACCATTTGTCCTGGGTGTAGACTGGAGGTTGGGGCAGGTGGCCTGGAAACCATTGTTGGTGATGGCCTCTGTGCATCCCTGTCTTAATGCTGCCCCCTCCTTCCTGCCTGCTGGGCACAGCTGTTGCTCAGCATCTTGTTTCTGTTTACCCCAGACAGCCAGAGCACTCTACATTCTTGGTTGCTGGGTGTGTTTGGAATCTCGTACCCCATCTTGCTCGGGAAGCACTTTACCTTTTGCCCCATGTTCACCCTGTGCCCTGTCCCTTCATCCCCTCCACTCCCTCTGCTTACCACACTTCAGCCAGCTGGCAGGAGGGCCTGCATCTGAGGCCCTGTCTCTGAGCAACCTATAAAAAGTAAGCGGGAGGAGTTAGAGGGTGAGTGTGAAAGTCCTGCAGATCAGCTTTCTCTTCCTTCCTTGCATCCTTCTAGCCAGTCACTGTCCTGAGGCTTTAGTCGTCAGTCATCCCTGTGGTTCATGACTTTGGGCCCACAGTGGTAGAGGCAGTAGTGAAAGCAAGCAGCCACAGCAGACTCCACATTAAAACATGACTTGAGCAGCACTAGAACACTGATCCGGAAGGCCAGAAGCCCGAGCCCAGCCCAGCCAGCAGAGCCAGACTTTGGGTTCCAGGCTCTAGGAGTGTTGTGTCTGTGGCATCCGTACACAGTGGTCTCCTCCATTGGGAACAGCCACTCCTCTTACTGAGAATATACCCTGGTGGGGGGTGGTCCAAGAACGGGATGGTGATCAGAGCTGTTTGAGGACCTGCCTGGAGCTTAGGAGGCCAGTTCAGGAACCCTGCCCTGGGCTGGAGAGATGGCTCAGGTTAAGAGCACTGTCTGCTCTTCCAGAGGTCCCGAGTTCAATTTCCAGCAACCACATGGTGGCTCGCAGCCATCTATAATGAGATCTGGTGCCCTCTTCTGACATGCAGGCAGTATATTATATACATAATAAATAAATCATAAAAAGAAAATGAACCCTGCCCTGAACAGCTTGTATATGCTTTAGTTTGGTTTCAGACAGTCTCACTGTGTAGCTCTACCTGCTCTATGCAGTCCTAGTGGATTTGAATTCACAGAGATTAGAATTGTAGCAAACACTGATTATTGAACTACTTATCTTTGTTATTTTTATGTGTGTGTTTGTGCGAGTGACATGTGGAGGTCAGAGGACAACTTGCAGGACTCAGTTCTCTTTCTGCATGGGGTTCCAGGGATTGAACTCGATATTGTTCAGCACTGAAGCTGGTGACCTCTGTTTAAGCCACCACCAGTGCTGGTGGGGGTGGGCGTAGGGGTCCTTCTCTCTCTCTCTCTCTCTCTCTCTCTCTCTCTCCCCCCCCCCATCTCCAAGACAGGGTTTCTCTCTGGATGTTCTGGACTCGCACTGTAGACCAAGCTAGCCTCAAACTTTGAGATCTGCCTGCTTTTGCCTCCTGAGTGCTAGGACTAAAGGTATGCACCACCACTGCCTGGCTTAAGCAGAAGGTTGGTTGGTTGGTTGGTTGGTTGGTTGGTTGGTTGGTTGGTTGGTTGGTTGGTTGGTTGAATTGATTTATTGTATATACAGTGTTCTGCCTGCCAGAAGAGGGCACCAGATCTCACTATAGACGGTTGTGAACCACCATGTGGTTGCTGGGAATTGAACTCAGGACCTTTGGAAGAGCCGCTAGTGCTCTTAACCTCTGAGCCATCTCTCCAGCCCAAGCATTCTCTTGGCCCTTATTTTGTAATTTTCATCTCATTATTTCCCAGACCACTTTTAGAAGGCTAATTTGTTGTTGTTTTGGAGTCTCTTTACACTGAAACTGAGTCCTCTTCTCATTTCTCCCCAGGCCTTGTCTCAACGAGATCCTCCTCACAACAACTTCTTCTTTTTTGATGGCATGAAGGGAAGTGGAATTGTGGAGTGCCTTGGTCCCAAGTGAGCCCAAAATGTATGCAGGTCCACTGTGACACCTGTCCTCATCCCAAGAGGTCCTGTCTGGATGATAAGCAGCCGTCAGGGACCTGCCTGCTGGCCCCCTGAGTGTGATAATTGCATAGCGCCCCTCTGGCATCGCCCCCTGTGCTGTCACTGGGGACTGGCAATGCTTGGCAAGAGCATCGTTCTCGGTGATGTTAGAGCCTCTTGCCACCTTCTGGGCTTACTCCCATACATCAACAGGAAGGAGCAGAACTTCAGCAGGGTGTGACGCTCAGAGCCTTTGACGCCCAATGGAAGTGTACTTCTCACTGAAGGACTGAAAGCAGCCCTCTGTTGATCCATCGTCAGGTTATAGCCTGGATTTTGGAAGGGAGAGGCTGTCACCCAGTTGTCTTGCAAAGTTACACCTTAGTAGAACTTAATTTTTTTTTTATCTTTTGGTTGTGAGCCTATGAGCCTAACCTTTAATGGCTGAGTCATCTTTCAACCTGACCTGCTTATTTCCAAAAGTTAGGTTCAATGCCAAGGGCCATGATGCAGGCCTGTAATCCTAGAAATTGGGGTACAGGGGCAAAAGGGTTGCTGTAAGTTTCAAGGCCAAGCTGGTCTACATAATGTACCAATAACCAGTCTCAAAATATAAAAGACATATTCCAGGGTCAGGATGGGGCCACATCCTTTCCCCGTTCCTCATGTTGGCCACCCAGGTCTCCTGAGGGGAGGGCCAGGTTGGTTTGATCTTCCTTTTGGGGCGTGGGCTCAGCTTGTTTTCTCTAGTTTGTAGACTCCCTTGCTTGTTCAGTGAGGAATAGTAATAAAATGACTTTCTCTCAAGCTTGCCTATCTCCTTTATTTTAAAAACTTGTGGTTAGCTGGTCTTTTCCCCAGACCTGAAGACTCTCACACCCTCTCGTGCTTCAAGGGTTCCTGCTCTCTCCAGTCCCACCACTTGTTCCCCTCACCCTTTTGAGAATGCAGCAGTTAGGCTGCACAGACAGAACACACAGATGCTTAGACTTTGGCCTGTATGCTGAGGGTCTCAGCCATGAGAGTCCACATGCTGTACGGAACTGTGAGCCAGATACAGCACCACACTTGTCATGTCAGCACCTGGGAGGTTGAGACAGTGAGATTACAAGTTGGTGCAAAACACACGGTTCCCACTCGGTGTACCCTGTGGCACCAGGGTAGGAAAGGCACAGGACACCTTTCCTATTGCAGTGTAAAGCCTTGGTCACAAGGGGGAGCAGATACTCCTGAAATTACATGAAACAAACTTTACAGCTTGTACCTCTAGATCGCACAGGCTGAGTCACTGAGTGGGCCTCTGGGGAGTCCGGAAGCTGCCAGCCCCGGGCAAGAACTGTCACTAAGCTTTCAAGTTCCAGGTACCTCCAGATTACAAGTACGATAACGTGGATAGCCTTAAGTTCTCAATAATTCGTAGCTTCTAGAATCTAGAAAGTGCACAAGACTCTTGGGACAGATCTGGTCCTTAGAGGCACAGAAGTTAAAGCAGGGGCCAAGGGTGAGCTGCCCAGAGCCACACAGTGCCTCCATCTTTATCCACCCTTCTCAAAGCATGCTGGAGACAGGCTACACAAAAGATAGACCCAAAGCTGGCTAAGGTGGTGTGTGCCTGTGCTCCCAGGACCCAGGAGGTGGAAGCAGGAGGATCATGAGTTCCAGGACAGCTAGGACTATATAGACCATGTCTCAAAAAGTAATAAAGCAGTAACTCATTCACATGCTCAGGCTTGCCTTTCTACCTCTTGTTCTGTTTTTGTTTTTCAAGTCAGGGTTTTTCTGTGTATCCCTGGCTGTCTTGGAATTTGCTCTCTGCCTCTGCCTCCTGAGTGCTGGGATTAAAGGTGTACCACCACTGCCTATCTGTCTATCTACTGTTTGTTTTTTTGTTTTTTCAAATTTTATTTTTATGCGTGTTGTTTATGGATGATGGGTATATAGGCTTACGTACCACAGTGCTGATGCTGAGGTCAGAGAACAGACAAATTTATAATGCACCTGAGCATAGTGGAGCACGCCTTCAGTGCCAGCGCTCAGGAGGCAGAGTCAGCTTGATGTTGAGGTCAGCCTGCTCTATACAGAGAGTTCAAGGTTGTAGCCAGAACAACAGTGGAGACCCTGAATCAAAAACACAAAGCCTGTGGCATTTATAATGCTTTTGTCCAGGGGATATTTATATCCTGTTAGGTGGTATTATGACCCATTACTGCTTTTATTTGGGAATTCAACATGACATAGGTAGAATTGTGTATCAAGTTAACAAGGGGTTGATTTGTCATGACTATTCTTGGTTGTCAACTTGACTACATCTGGAATTAACTAAAATCCAAGCAGCTGGGTACACCTGTGAGGGATCTAATAAAAAATAAAAAAAATTATACACAATGTCCTGCACACCAGAAGAGGGCACCAGATCTCATCATAGATGTTTGTGAGCCAGCAGGCAGTTACTAGGAATTGAACTCAGGACCTTCAAGAAGGGCAACCAGTGCTCTTAACCTCTGAGCCATCTGTCCAGCCCCTGTGAAGGGTCTTAATTAAGTCGTTTTAAGTGGAAAAGCCCACCTTTATCTAGACCACACCTTCTAGTAGCAAGGTGGGTCTATCCTTCCACCCTGTCCTGGGAATCGACTCATCAAGATTGGCAGCAAGCAGTTTACTGACATTTTACTGTCATTTCAGGAGCAAGCTCTGCTGCCATCAAAATCCTCTCAATTTAAGCTCAGTGTAATAGTACTATGTGCCTGTATTCCCAGCTCCTCCTGAGGCATGACTTCAAAGTCAGCTTGGGCTGAACAGTGAGAACCCATCTCAAACAATAAGCAACAGCAACAAATCTTCAGTGCACCATAATCCTAGCAGCTGCCCTCACGGCTGAACTCGGGATTTGGGAGAGAAATGTGAGATGCTTTCAGGATGTGTTGGCTGTATCCACTTTCCCCACCCCCTGTGGGGGATGGGACTGTTGACGGGGAAGCTTTGCAGATGGGCAGCTTCCCCCCAGACTCAGCAAGTGCGTTTCGGACCTCCATCACGCACCTTGCGCATGGTGGCGCACGCCTGGAATCCCAGCAGGGGCAGGTGGGTGGATCTCTGACTTCAAGGCCATCCTGGTCTATAAGTCCAGGACAGCCAAGGCTACGCAGAGGAACCCTGACTCCAAAAACCTAATATAATAATAATAATGTTACTGAGTGCCTGGATTCAGTTCCCAGCACCCACACAGCCGTTCACAACCATTTGTCACTCAAAGGGATCTGATGCCCTTGTCCATCCCCTGCAGGCCCCAAGCATGCGGGTGGTACACGTGCATATGCAGGCATTCACACATGCGTATGGATCCTTAACAAAGGAAAAGTAGTCTGCCAGAGGCGGAGGTAGGCAGGTCCCCACTACATAGCAAGTTGAGTGCCCGGCCACTCTACGTGAGACTCTTGAAAGCAAAGTAGAAGGAACAGGTTCCTGTTAGATGCAGAATCAGCAGCATGTGGTAGAAAAGAACCAGATGAATGTTCTAGGGCTGGAAAATGTACTCAATAGACTTAATAAAACGGAGATCAGGATTACTGAATTGAAAATAGCCTAAAAAAGTATGAAAAGGGTGAGCAAAATGACTCAGCATGTACACCCACACCCACATACAAGCATGCATACATCACACACACTAACATGGCAAGAAAGAACTTCGTAACATAAGACGCCAGGGGTGGTGGCACACACCTGGACACCCCAGCACTCAGGGAGGCAGAGATCTCTGAATTCCAGGCCAGCCTGGTCTACAAAGGGAGCTCCAGGACAGCCAGGGCTACACAGAGAAACCCAGACTTGAAAAACCAAAAAGAAAAAGAAAAGAAAAGATCCTTTGAGACATTGCAATAGACTCCTACTCCAACCAAGGACTATTCATGGAGATAACCTAGAACCCCTGCACAGATGTAGCCCATGGCAGTTCAGTGTCCAAGGAACTTGACGCTAGAAGAGAAATGACAGTACTAACGGCCGAAGAGAAACGAGACAGGACGGAGGTGGAGTTGCTGGTGGCCGCTGTTTGGAGGTAGCCAGGACTCCTGGCTGAGAAATCACTTTGTTCTCTGAGCTGGGACCTACGATAATTAACAGTGAGCATCACCTCGACCGCAGGGTGCTTAGATCCTCTCGGAGGAGACAAACTTGAGAGTTTCTGGGTTGAGGTGGGAAGGCTTGACGCGTCATAAGTGTGGGCAGCACCAGTCCATGGGCTGAAGTTGCAGACAAAAAGGAGAAAGGCCACGAGCCATCGGAGGCCTCTCTGCTGCCTGACGGTGGGCACAGTGTGACTGGCTGCCTCCAGCTCTGCCGCCAGGCCTCACTGCCATGATGGACAGCCCCCTCCAACTGTTAGCCACAGTAGACACCTCTTCCTTTAAGCTGCTTGGTTTGGTTTGGTTTGGTTTGGTTTGGTTTGGTTTTCAAGATGGGGTTTCTCCGTGTAGCCTTGGCTGTCCTGGAACTCACAGAGATCCGCCTGCCTCTGCCTCCCTGGGTGCTGGGATTACATGCGTGCGCCACCGTGCCCAGCTAAATTGCTTCTTTTCTTTTCTTTTTAAGACTCGTTTTTGTGTGTCTCCTTGTTTTGCCTACAGGTTTGTCTGTGCACCACTGTGTCCAGTGCACACACAGGCCAGAAGAGGCCGTCATAGCTGCTGGGACTGGAGTTCCGGGTGGTTGTGAGCTGCCCTGAGAGTTCTGGGAACTGAACCCAGGTCCTCTCCAAGAACAAGAAGTCCTGCTAAGGGCTTGGCCATCTCTGCAATCCCCTAAATTGCTTCTTATCAAATATTCTGGTGACGGCAACAAGGGAGTAGCTAAGACGGGGTCATGTGGCCCTGGTTGACCACTGATCCTTCTGCCCCCGTTTCTAAGTACTGGAATTTCAGACAAATGTCACCAGCCTGGCCCACTACAATACTTCATCAAAACTGTATAGCTTATTTCCAAACAACAACGAAACGAGAGTTTTAAAAGCACAGTGCTTCTGTGGAGGTCCAAAGGCTACTTGTGGACTTCAGTTCCCCCTTCTGCCATGTGACTCTGGAGGCCAAATTCGGCTTATGAAGCCTCGTGGCCTCTTCACCTGCTGAGCTACCTCAACTGCCCTGAACGGACAGAACATTTTCAGATTTGAACTGTCCAGGCACCATGGAGCCAATTGTGTTGTTCCTAGATCAGACTTGGCACTTATTTTTTAACTTCTGATTTTTCGAGACAATGTTTCTCTCTGTGTGTAACAGCCCTGGCTGTGCTGGACTCCCTTTTGCAAACCAGGCTGCCCTCAAACTCACCTCAGAGAGCCACCTGCCTCTCTCTAATCCTGAGTGCAGGGATGAAAGGTATGTACCTATATCCAGCCACAGAATTGTCAGTTTTGTGAACCGTTGTGTAGACAACACTTGGACTGTTTCTTTGTTTGTTTGTTTGTTTGTTTGTTTTGTTTTGTTTTTTACCTCCTGAGGCAGGGTTTCTCTCTGTGTGTAGCCCTGGCTGTCCTCTACTCACTCTGTAGCCCAGGCTGGCCAGAAGTCACAGAGATCTGCCTGCCTCTGCCTCCTGAGTGCCATGCAGCCTAGCAATACTTGGACTCTTGAACACGTACCCTTCCCTCTGCTGGAGATGCCCGGAAGGCAGTGGGTACAGCCTCATCAGTGCGCCCTCCCATGTGTCCACTTCTCCTGAGCTTCCGTTATTTTACTATCATTGGCCAACAGAAAAGGGTGCGTTGCACATCTGCCTCTCTCTGCATTCATTGCAAAACTGGTACAGGACAGGGTTGCAGAACAGGGTTAGAGGACTACATTGAGCCAACTATCAGGAAGTTAGTGGGGGACTCTCCTTTCTCAAAATAGTATAAGGTGGGCTCTGAGGGCTGCGCTCAGCATGAAGAGCTGGCAGTGCTTGGCCTCACTTTGCTCTTAGCCCAAGGTGCACTTCTAACGTAGCCTGCGGCTTATCCCAGGGCCAGGCTAGATCCCATGTTGTCCAGGGTGGACAGAGCCTGTCTCCTAACCAGTGAGCCCAGCTCTTGAAGCAGTGCCTTCTAAATGATAGACCACGCATTCATTCATTCATTCCTGCAGTAAATCTGAAGCCCAGCCACACTGTTCACGTGGTGGAACAAGGATTAAGTATTAGACCCTCTGAACTGAAGGAGCTAACCCTAAGGCCGGCTACAACAGTGGGTGCCAGCTCCGTGGAGGTAGTCTGTCTGCCTCTCTCTCAACCTGCCTTCCTTTTCCTCTCGTGGTATGGACAGCTGAACCCAGAGCTTTGGGCACTGTTGAGCCACACCCGAGCCTGTCACTGGGGCATTCTAGACAGGGGCTCATTGAGGGATAGTCCTAATCTTCCTACCACCTTTGGAAAAAAAAAAAAAAGTGTATTTGTTTTATGTATATGAGGGCTCCGTCTGCTTGAATGCCTGCACACCAGGGCACCAGATCCCAGTATAAATGGTTGTGAGCTGCCACTGCCACGTGGCAGTGTGGCAGTGCTCTTAGCTGCTGAGCCGTCTCTGCACTGCCCCCACCCCCTCCCCGTGGCTTGAGACTGGGTCTCCCTTAGCTGCTCAGGCCTTCTCAGTAGCTATGATGACAGACCAGCCTCTAGCTAGCCTTTTAGTATGACCGCCTCTTAAGAGCCCAAGGGCCCCAGGCTCTCTCGTGGCCTGCCGCTGGTAAGGCTAGCAAAAAAGCGTGTCCACTGTTCAATCTGATTTTATTGAAAAGGAAACATACAAAAATCATGTACAAAAAAAATTAACCAAACATGTACAGAAAATTCATTCCAGTATTATCTACAGCAGTGCATGTACAGTATCTTACAGGCTGGGCCGTCCCTCCCCGCTCCCAGGCTCCTCCCGCTTCGGAGACTTCCCTCCCTCCCTGACTCCCCAACGTCCTCCCCAGCGCTTTGCCCTGGAGACTAAGGCTGGGGTGGCTTCTGCCAGTCTCTCCCACCCCCCAAATGAATGCCAGTGATCACACGTGCTCTCTCTAAACCTATGCAATGGGATGGATGGGGGCTGGGGGGGTGGTCCCGGGCAGAGCACAGGATTCACAGTCTGGACCCCTCCTGGACACCCCGAGATGAAGGTGAGGCAGGCACCGGCTGCTGCCTGCCGGTGGCTCAGGGAAGATGGCCGGGCACTGGGTGAGGAGGCTGTCACATGGCCCCCATTCTCTGGCTCCAGGAGGCTAGTGGTCAGGTTTGGCTCATATGCTCTTCACAGGCCCCCTCCCCAAGAGGAGGGGGGGAAGCACCAGGGGCCCGAGGCCAGGCCTAAAGTGAAGGCGCACTGGGGACCCCCCCCCCAGCGCCCCCCTGCAGCTGGAACGGGCAGCCAGCACCAGCAGCCTTTCCTGAGATGGTGGTGGGCGGCAGAGGCGGGCGGCCCCCTCGGTCACCATGAGTCCGTCAGCCCTCCCTCCCCTGGCTTTCGGGAGGCCAGGGTCCCCCGAGTCTGTATCTCCGTCAGTGCACCCAGGCTGCCCGGCTCCAGTGGCTTTCCCTTGCCCACCCCTGGGACAGGCAAGGCTGGCAGTCCAGTATGCTACATGGTGCAGAAAAAGTCCCCCGCGCTGGCCAGGGTGTCAGGAGGCGGAGGGATCCTGCCCCCCGAGTCTCCGACGTCCCCAGGGCGGGTGTAGGCACCTAGTTGGGCTCCATTTCCGGGGCTCCGTGATCCCTGGGTAAGGGGAGGAGTCCCATGAAGAGATTGTACATGGCCCTCCAGGGCGATGGGCGGTGTCGATGCTGCTCTTCTTGTCTCTGGAGAGAGAGATTGAAGTGGAAATCAGCTTGGACCAGCAGGCAGTTCGTGGGGGCACTAAAGGTGTGGATCGGGATTGGTTCCAAAACTCGGTGCAACCCTCTTACCAGCCTCCCACTCTCCAGGGCACACTCTCCCAGGACAGGAGGGAAAGGCTAGCCTCGGAATCCACTGTGCAAATCACAAGGGCTCTAATGGGTGGGCTGAAATGCAGCCCGTTCAAGGCGAGAGACTGGCCTGGTGGCTCACACACCCAATCTTAGCACCTTCACTAAATTTGTGCGAAAAGGGCAGGGTCCTATCTGGAAAAACCAAATCAACCAAACAAAAGGCTGGTGGGACAGGGGAGGGAGCAATGAATGGGCCCGCAGCCATGATTCTAAACCAAGCCAGGGGGAGAACTAAGAACAGCATGGCATCCTGGCAAGGCCGAGGGAAGGTGCATCTTGGCACTGCTGGCTTCTGGGAAACCCTTGTTCTCGTCCTGGTGGCAGAAATGGGATGATGTAGCTTCTAGAATCCCTCTGTGATGGCACAGGCCTGTAATTCCAGTGGCCCAGGAGGCTGAGGCAGGAGGGTAGAAAGTTCAAGGCCAGTGTGGAGAATGTGGTAAGAGCCAGCTTCTAGCCTGGCACGGTGGCACAGGCCTACGATCCCAGCACTCTGGGAGGCAGAGGCAGGTGGATCTCTGTGAGTTTGAGGCCAGCCTGATCTACAAAGGCAAGTCCAGGATAGCCAGGGCTACCCAGAGAAACCCTGTCTTGAAAAATAAACAAAACAAAACAGAAAGAAAAGAAAAAAAAAATAAAAAGGAAAAGGAAAAAGACACTCTTGGTTGCAGAGAACACAACTCCCTTCAGAAATGTCAGACTAACAGCCCCACGCAGTACATGCCCAGAACTAGCCCAGGCCTCCCTGTGGCTGGCAGCGGGGGATGGGAGCCGCCTTGAGCGCTCACTAGTGCTTCTATCTAGTCAGCCAATTAGGGGGAGCACGGAGCACTCAGCATCCACCCCAGGCAGCAGCACACGGGCCAAGCCAGGGACTGGCTTCTCATGGAAGAGAGGAAAAAAGAATAATGGCAGAGCATGCACCCTGCTAAGCCACACCTCCTGCCAGCCGCTGGGGGGGTCGGGGGAGGAAAAAAAAAAAGCCCACATCTTTAGTCCCGGCACTTGGGAGGCAGAGGCAGGGAAACCTCTGGGTTCCAGGACGGAGAAACCATATCTTGCAAATCCAAAAGGAAAAAGAAAAAGAAAGCTTTCGTTTTTTGAGACATGATCCTCTGCCTGAGCGTTCTTAACCACGAAGCCCCTTTCACTTAGGTATGTGTGTCACATTCATCTGTGTGTGCGAGGCAGAGAACTAGACGTGGAGGGCAGAAAACTAGACGCTGCCTTCCACTACCGGGGTCCTGGGGCTCGAACTCAGCTCGTCAGTTTTGGTGGCAAGCACCTTTATTCTCTGAGCCATCTCGAAAAGCCCTTTCCTCTTTCTTTTTGAGACAGGGTTTCACTAGCTTGCCCAGGCTGGCTTTGAACTTTCTTTCTCCCCCCCCCCCCTCCCCCCCGCCCCGAGGAAGCGGGATTACAGGAAGCTGCCACCAGGCCTCTCTCGCCTGTCTCTAGGATGTGCCCAGTGTTAACCAATGAAGGGGATGGAGGACTTCGGGAAGCCATAGTCAGCGCCAGAGCCAGGATGGGAGCTAAAACACACCGCCGCTGGCCGCAAGTGAGCGGGCGCACAGACACCTGCTGGGAGGCTGTCCCTTCACCAGGAGGTAGGGGACAAGGCCCGGGAGCAGAGCTGGGGGTCTGCCCCCACCCGACGTTAGTGGGGGTCTCTCTCTCTGCCTCGCTCTCTCGGCAAACAATGCAAGGGCCATGTGCAGCGTGCACAGCGCTGAGGGGCGGGAGCGAAGGTCCGGGGGTTCCCCGGCGGGCAGCGAGCGAGGGGG